GAAATGAATAACAGAACTGCGTAAAACCAAATATGGCCTTAGAAGAAAAATTAAGGCATAGGACAGATAGTTCAAAGGACATAGATATAAAATGTCTCAAAAAATGAAATTACTACAGAGGCCAAAGTTAAACAATTTTTTTTTAAAAAAATGGGTTCTATCAAACTGAAATAGAAAATAACTTTTTTCCAAGAAAGGGGAAAGGATTTATTTTGGCTATTCCTTCTGACAGGAATGGTCTCCTATCCCTTGAACAAGATACAGGTTTTCAGGGAACAGATTTGCCATCAAACTATCTAGCTTGGTGTTTGGAGAAAGAGTTGGTATGTTAGTTCCTACAATGTAGGCCTCAGATATCTAAGGATGGAATAACTATTCATAAATACTATACCCAACTCACTCTTCCTACTAAGAGTGGTAAGCCTTGATATCATTTTCATTTAACCTGTGACAAATCCAACCAACAGCTTTCTTTTTAGACACGGCAAACTCAAAACAGTCTCGACCATTTTCGCCATATTCTGCACCGACTAGCGGAATACACATTCCTGAACCAGAGAATGTCAAACATCTGCTTTTATCTTCCAGAAGGGATTGGGGTAGAGGATAAGCAACTTGAACTCACTTTCAGAAGTACTGAGTATCTCATGGCTGCAGCCTAAACCAGCAAGAATTCCAGCTCCAAGCTAATCTGGAGAGGAGATTATAACATTAGTATTTTATTAACAGAGCAAAAAGAAAAAAAGGGAAAAAAAGGAACTCAAGAGCACTCAAGAGTGAATACAACATATTTACTTGGACCAAGTTTCTGTGCACTTACTATTAGCTTGCTAGGATGACTTATTTATTAAATAAAACCGAACTGGCTAAATACCGCACAATTATTAAAGTCAGAGAAAAGAATAACCCAATCATACAATTAAAAATATTTAACCTATATGACGCCTGCTTATCAATCCATCGACAACTCTCAAAACAAAAGCCATTGTTGCAAAGGACTATACTGTTACACACATCAGTTAAGCAAGATAAAAGTAGACAGGCAGGCAGGCAATCACCTTTCTTCATTTATATTTCAATGGGAAAATGGGACAGCTTTCCCCCCCCACCAAAGGCCTTGATATTTTTTGTATCAACTATGTTCTTCTTACTCTGCCAGGCTGAGAAAACAGCTTGCAAAAAGGGGGACATGAACAGTCCTTGCATCAATCCGTGGTGGAGGCTTCCCACCAACCACACACACAACCACACACACACACACACACACACACACACACACACACACACATATTGGTCATTCCTTAGGGATCATATCCAAGGATCCCTATAAAACCAGGATTTTACACGAGGAAAGGGGGTGTATTTTCTATCCTGCACGTTGCCCCCCCCCCTTCAATGCCAAAGACAGTGATTGATACATTTCCCCATCTTTTGTTTCCAAAGCCCCCAAGCGCATCGCACACACATGTCACCAAGAGCTTCCCTTCCCGTTAGGACAGGATGCACGCTGGACAATCCCAGCTCTCCCAAACCCATCTCAATGGCTGAGCCGAAAGAACTTCCAACACCGGAAACCTTCGTCGTCCTCCTCTCAACGTCCCCCCGAAAGGCGGCTCTCACTCCAACACCCTCGCCCGGCCGGATGGCATTTCCTTCCAACTGATCGAAGGCTGAACTTACTGCCAAAGAGGGAGGAGATGTGACAAAGGCGACCGCAGGCCCTTCCCTCTCTCTTTTTTTTCTCTTTCTTTCTTTCTTTCTTTCTACGATTACAAAAATAAAAAAAAGGATCCAGGAGAGCAAAGCCACCATCCACCCCTCAGTTGCGCCGGCTCTCCTTGGGGAAACCGCTCTCGCAGTCCGGCGTCAATTCAATTCCCCTCCTCCAGCGCCTCCCGGCTAAAGCCGGTTTTGCTCTGATGCTCCTACTTTTCGGTCTGCTTCGTGAGCGGCTCCACCATTGTCTGCTCCGGGCTCCCCGGGATCGCGCGAGACACCAGCAGCTCAGGTGGCCCCGGCGAGCGAACAAAAGAGCCACCGGCGCTCGCAGGCTGGAATAAGCCGGTCCCCGGAAAAAAAGCCCCACTCTGGGCTCTGGGAAGCCCCGACCGACGAAAACAACGTGCCTTTTACCCCCGCCCTTCGTCTCTTCCCCCTCCCTCCCTCCCAACCAGACTTGTCAACTGCGCATTTGCGCCGAGGCTGCCGTTGAGCAAGCAGGCAAGCTGGGGCCAGGCGGGCACGCACTGTATACATATACATTAACATGCATGTATATAGACATGCTCGCTATTCAGGCTCCGGGGTCGGGGAAGGGGGGGGGGGTGGCGAGACTAGTCCGTACCTGACCGAGCCGCGCTCTTTTCTACTCCTCCTGCCTTGCTGAAAGCTGCGGTTTCCTGGAGGATCGGGGGAAGCCGAAGGCGGCGGCGGCGGCGGCGGCGGCGAGCCCGAGATGATCACTCAGTCATTGTGGTCGGTCCTGCAGAGACGCTTGGGGGTCTCCTAGAAGAGAATAGAAGCAAAGGGTGCGCTGTCGGGCTTTCCACGCCAGCGCGGACGCTTCTACGGCGAACCTCCATTTTCTCCCTTCTTTTCCCATTTAGCCCCCCCTTCCTAGCCAACCGGGTTCCCCTCCTTTGCCCCCCAACGCGGGAACCTTGCCTGATCCTCCTCCTTCTCACCCCGATCCAGCGCCGGGCTTTTTGAGATGGGCCCCCGCGATTCTCTTGCAAAGTCTGCAAAGTTTCCCCTCGCTTGGCGGCGCCGCTTCTCAGCTCTCTGGATCGCCAACGCAGGCTGATTCACCTCGGCACCTTGCTAGCTGGTATGAGGCGGGAACTAGGAACCTTCCACGTATTACAGTGAAGGGCTTTTTTTTTCTCTCCCTCCGTTCAACCGGCTCCCCGTTTTGCATAAAACGCGAGATCCGGACTCTGCGTCCAAGTATCTGCCTGCATTATTATTATTTTTAAAGGAGTGGGGGGGAAATTCAACCGTTCCCCAGGCGGGATTAATTGTCCGCCTGCTAGAGCCAAAAGGGGGTAAAACTTCACGCCGCGGAAACGCTCCGCTCAGTCCCCATCCAACGGACCTTATCCACTCTGGATATTTTCATCCCAGACTCCAGCACTCAAAAACGGCGCTTTCTCTCTGGTTTATCTTCGAGGTGAAGATAGTTGTCTATGGAGATTCTCAGTCATCCAGGTCATGGTTGTCTCAAAGGGTTTTTTTTTTTCTCCAAAAGGCAACTGGACTTTTTGGTTTTCCTCCCAAGACGTTTCGCTTCTCACCCAAGAAGCGAAACCTCTTCAGAGAAAAACAAGATTCAGAACTNGAGCTATATTTCAAATTAGAGTTTTCACAAGCCATTGAGCAAAACCCAACATTATACAAACTGAAGTCTTTTAAGGTTAAGAAACGTAATCCTCCCTTCCTTTCTTCTGCCTGTTCCCTAATCGGGGGGGGGGGGGTGTTCCCCAAATCTTCATAGTTAGTTGTGAAGTCATGAAGATATAAGAAAACTCCCCTCCTAATGGGAGCAATTATATCAATAGAAGGCTTTGGCTGGCTTCTTAAGTCTTCTTCCCATGACAATACATCTAAACATTTATACTAGATTATATAGGTAATCCTTGACTTACGGCCACAATTAGAACCAGAACTTATCGATAAGCAATGCAGAGAATCAGCGTGTCACCACACTCAACTTTATCACCTTTTTTTTGCCATGGTCTTTAAGTGAATCCAACTTCCGCCCTTGAGGCCAGCTGGGCAGGTTGCAAATGGGCATCCCGTAACCCTTGGGATGCTGCAACCATCATAAGGACATGCCTGTGTTAAGTGCAAGGACCAGTTGTAGGTCATTTTTTTTCAATGCCAGCATAACCTCACAAGGTTGGTAAATGAAGGGTCATAACTTGAAGACTACCTATAATCTACGTTCACGCAGATGAAACTGAAATTATTAATGGCCTGTGTTTAGCCACACATAAGAAGCATTCAGAAAAACACTGAGTAATTAGCTTTTAAAACAATGCATTAATTAGCATTCCAAACCCGAAAGTATGTATTTCTTTTGAAACTACTAGAATTACAACCTTTAACAATAGGGCAACTGAGATACATATCAATGCTTTTGAAATAGCAAACAATTTCTGCTTTGTTTGAAACTCTTCTATGAGCCCACTCTTAAAAAAAATCTTCAATAGACTTTGTATGCTTGGATATAAGACTATTACAGCCTTCTGAATGAATCGCAGTTATTCATATATATGCATGCCTTATATTTACATGCATGTATGCAAACACATACACAATGCACATAAAGTTGCCTAGGTTAAACGTTCTGCTAATACCCCTCCCCTTAAATTTTAATGATCCTTATGGTAAACTACAAGGTGTCTCAGAAAGGATACTAAAACACATAGCTCATTGGTCACAAAATTCTTATCTTTATAACGCATGTTATCATCTCTTCCACTCACAATTAAAAAGTATATGAAGATGAAAATGTGATAACGTGTCGCAATCTGACCACATCATCAAGATTAGTTTTAACCTTCTCCTAACCTTCTTTAAGGTAAGTCTTTAGTCTTCTTTCTGCAATTCAGAGGCATCAGAAGTCACATCGGCTATGGCATTCCCTAATCTTTCACCAGGACTTATATCTAACAGCGTCTGGGCTACCTGTACAACACAACCATTTTAATGTAACCCAAATGCTGAAATTAAATCAGAACTGTTTCAGACATTTCCAAACAAAAATAGCTCAACGGGTTTACAATCAGCTCTCTTTTTATTCCTATAACCTGGCAGCCATTTCTGTTCAGTAGGAGACTTGCCTACAATATACAATGGATGCTTCGGCATCTTGAGCTGGTTGCTTTACCTTATCTTCAGATGTGATAGCAACAATATCAGCTAAAGGCAGAAATTCTCAGCAGTTTTTGAAACAACTGCATTTCTTCAGTATCACTGAAAACTAATGCAGAAACAAACAGTTTAATAATACATGAATGTTACTAAAGTGGTTTGCCTTGTGTCAGGCAAACTTCCAACTAAGCTACCCTGTTCTCCCCAAAAATAAGACCTCCCCAGATAATAAGTCCAATTGAGCTTTTGAGCGCATGCGCTAAAATAAGCCCTCTTCTGAAAATAAGCCCTCCCTGAAATTATTGCAACACAGAAGCAGCCATGAAGTGACCCCACTTGCCACCTCCTGCACTTCAAAAATAGTAAGACCTTCCCGAAAATAAGGCCAAGTGCTTATTTTGGGAGTCAAAAGAAAATAAGACCCTGTCTTATTTTCAGGAAAGCACAGCACATATTTAACAAATAAAAATGCAATGCAAGGACAAATTAAGAATTCCTTTCCTGAAGAAAGGCATTCCTCAAGGGCACCATGAGTTGATCAGAGAAGTTTCTTGATTCCGACTTGCATATTTACAAGAATCTCACCAGACTAACTTACTCTCTAGAGCAGGGGTGTCAAACTCTATTTCATTGAGGGACGTGTCAGGATTGTGTTTGACCTCGGGGGGGGCGGGGGGGTGTAGCCAGCTCGACATCACTCGTATTGGGGGCACCTGTGGTGGCCCAAAAGCTCTGCCAGAGAAAATGGGCTCTCAAGCTCCATTTTCGGCTGCACCAACTTCCTGCAAGCCTCTGATAGTGAAAACGGAGTTCGGAAACCCGTTTTCGTGTCCGGCCGTCCCATGCTCTGTTTTCACTGGCAGAGGCAGTAAATGCCAGTCCTTCGCTGTTTCCAGGGCGGCCCCGCAGCCCAGTTCTAAGCACCCCATGGGCCAGATCCAGCCCCCAGGACTTGAGTTTGACACCCCTGCTCTAGAGAAGAACCAAATAACCCCTTCAGGGATATAAGGAAAGTCAGGTCTTCCATCACTTCTTTTCCTTCAGGGATTTCATGCTAGCCAAACTCTTAATTTGAGCCAAGGTGGCGCAGTGGTTAAATGCAGCACTGCAGGCTACTGCTAGATCAGCAGTTCAGCAGTTCAAATCTCACCGGCTCAGGGTTGACTCAGCCTTCCATCCTTCCGAGGTGGGTAAAATGAGGACCCAGATTGTTGGGGGCAATATGCTGACTCTCTGTAAACCGCTTAGAGAGGGCTGAAAGGCCTATGAAGCGGTATATAAGTCTACTGCT